TTGATTTATGGTGAAATAGAATTCATGTAACCAATCTAATATATACAATTCTGATAAGGCTTAAATAACTTTTGTTCTCTTTTTATGGAGGGAAGGGGTTAAAAGATTAAAAAAAAAATCCATCAAGCTGAACCACAAAAACAAAGAGAAAAAATCACAAGATTCCAACAAAACAATACGACACAACAATAACACAGACTAGCTGGGACTGATTGACTCAAACAGACACAAGCACTTAACCTAGGACTATCAGGCGCTACTTACTGGACCAACAGAAAAAGAGGCCAACAAGGAATTCTCCTTCACTAAACCAACGAAATGACATAGTATGGACCACAACAGTACCAGCCGTGTGTGTGTACCAGCTTGAAGTCTACAGCATACTTTTCCTATGTGAAAAATAACTCGAAACTGCATTCATAGCGATCCTATATAATTGGGATAAGGTTTGAATGACGATGATGATTAGGTTCATCGTGAAACAGGATTGGTGTAGCCAAGGCCGTATAATAGATAATGATGAAGATGATAAGTTAGACACAAAATCTTCCAAAGAATTTTTAACTGGGTTGGTCCATAGGGTGGTTAGGTTTGGTTGAAGATCAGATTAAGGTTGAAATTTTGTCAATCAAATCCAATCAGAAACCTACATACATGTAGACCTGTTTATGGGTCAGGTAGTCCAATGGCCCGGCCTGGCCCAATTCATTATTTTTCGGGTTTGAACAAAACTTTAAGTATGTGGATTTGGGCTTGGGCTTTAAATATCAGGCTCAGTCATTTTTTGGGTCGGGTTCGGTCTTTCTCAAATAAGCCTAGCCTGATATTATTATATATAATAAAAAGCATTTATATTATATATAATATATATTTGTTTCTTAAATTATTAATCAATATTAATTTACTATTAAAAAATATAAATTAGTTTATTAATTTATTAAATTATCACTAAATTAATATAATATTAATTTATAAAAGTATACTGAAAATAAGACATTTTATGTATAGATCAGGCTCCATACTTTATATAAGGTCCAGGTTCGGATTCAAGATCTAGGCCCAATGTTCGGACCAGCACATTTTTTATTGAAAGAGGCAAAGTCCAACTTGACCCGGCCCATGAATATATATATATATATATATATATATATATATATATATATACCAACAATTCCAAAGTATTTTAGTGTAGCATCACCACTCCTAGTGTACAAGAACTTTGTCCTTATACATATATTAACGTTAAAACTAATTGACCTTGATTAGTTAATTTTAAGTCTAAAAGGTAATAGTAACCACTTTTATGAATGAAAAGAAATAAAATTAGGCCAACAGAAGCACAGCCCCAACTGATGTTATAGGGTTGGACTAGGTTTGGGGTTCAACAACTCCGATTGGATTAAAGTTGACCCATTAAAGTGGATTGGTATAATAAGGGAAATTATCTAAAACCTTCCATTTATTCACAATATCTGAAACTTCCCCAAACGTTTATACCTTCAGGGAGCCCAGCTTTAGGACGCCGGATGAATTGGGAACATCTGTCCCAGCCCTGTTCTCCATGTATGGCTGTGATTAACGTGGGCAGACTTCTCGTGGACTGGAGATCCGGACTCCGACTTTAGATCGATATATTCACAAAATCATTGCTCTAGCTCTACCCATCATACAGTGTACTGTTCCAAGTCCTCCGACATGTATTTTATAATATGACCAAAATACCCTTAAAATGAATATTTTACAAATGGAAAAGAACGGCACTAGCTTACCTACAGGGACAATTAAAGGGCCCTAATTAAGTAACAAACTGTTGACCAGGACGCCCATATCAATGTTAGGTACTGGTGCTTTAAAAGGACAGTCAAGAGCAAGCAGTTGGCTGTTTGTAACTTGTTAATTGTAAAACTTAGTTTAGTTTAGCCTTTCGATTTGGACATACAAAAGCGAAAGAAATCAATGTGTTTTCTTATTCTGTACAACTTTTTGTTTGGGTAGAGACAGAAAGAGAGAGAGCATTGCTACTTTGCTGGAAGGATGGTTTTCGAAGCATCCTTGCTCTGTATGGTCGAAATATTTGACTTAGAAATCAATCAAGCAACCGGTCGTTTCATGACTTTCATCCCTGAATCATTCTTTTGCCAAAACCGTTGATTTAGTCAGTGACCTGTTGATACAGGCATTCAATCCGTGAATCCGCTCGACTCGAAAACAGATTTTGGCTATTTTTAATTTTTTATACTGCAATGTGTCAATCAATTCAGACCATATGATCAAACCACCTAGAAATCAGCGGCTAACGGTTCTGGTTTCACATCGGTTCTAAAACATTGGCCAGAGGTATTTCAGTCACACTAATCAAACATCATTTACTACAACACTCCTATAGTTTTATAAATTTATTTAAACCAATCTATAATTTTTATTTTACTAGAATATATTTTTTCTATAGTCTGCAACGTATTTAGTATTTACTTAATCGTGGTGTTTGTTACTTTATTTTGCCATCTAAAAATAGTAATATTATCACCTAAACTGAGTGGAAATATTGTTCTCTTAAACACGGGCCCATGTTTGTTTATTCCAAAAACACTCATAACTCTTTTTCATATTAGGAATGGCAATGGGGCGGGGCGGGGCGGGGCAGGGAGGAGAGCCTTTCCCCTTCCCCGTCCCTGTCCCCACCCCCGCTAATGGGGACAAGTTTATCCCCATCCCCATCCCCACGGGGATCCCCATACCTCATGATTTCTTATAATGTTAACCATTTTGTTTTAGATTTTTATTTCATTTAAAAAAAATAAAATAATTAAAACTGACAAAGATTCAAATATATTCAACTATATTTTTAAAAATATTAATTTATAGATATATGTGTACATGTATACATATATAACGTATGCATACATATATACATATATCTTACTGGGGATCCCACGAGGCGGGGAGTGCTCTCCCCGTCCCAGCTAACGGGGATGATAATTTCCCCATCCCCATCCCCACAGGGGGAAAATCATCCCCATTCCCACATCATTTGAGGTGGATCCCCACGAGGATCAGGGAAATGGGGAAAATTGCCATCCCTAGTTCAATCAAGGTTCAAAATATCGTTATTGGTGATATGTATCGTATCGGGCCTTCTCAATACACCCTTGCACGGGCTGTATCGGGTCAGGCAATAGTTCAGAGGATAGCTAGGACTTAAACTGATCCCTCTAAATTGGTTTTGAAAAAATAAATAAAACATAAAAAAGCACCAATACGCCTGGCGTATCGACCTGTATCGATATTTAGAACCTTGCTTCATACATAAAAAAAAAATGACCAAAGAGAGCCATTTTGATTGAAATTGTATTTTCTATTTTATCTATTTTGATTGAAACAATTATTTTTGGTCAAAGTTGTCAATTTCTACTATCACCAAATGTAAAGTCAATTTAATAAATTGATTGCAAACTATAGGATATCTTTTAATAAATTCATGAAATTATAAGGGGTGTTTTAATAAATTATCCATAAAAAAAATGATGAAAAGTTAGATCAGATAAGGGTTATTTTTGTCACTTAAGAATTATATTTTGGGACAATAAGAAAACGTGACACAGACAAAAGTCGGAGGAAGTTTTTTGACAACATAAATAAGGTGAAGAGAGGTTTTAGATAAGTTCTCTATAACTGTCGATTGAAAAGAACAAAAGTTAAAAGGATCAGAGCACAAAGAATACAAGACAACAAGAAATTTGGAGAATAGAGAAGGAATACAAGAATTTGAAGACAAAAAATATTAAATAAAAAAAAAAGGATCAGAGCACAACATCACTTTTTTGAAAAAGGGAGCACACTCATTCTTGGTAATTGGAAGGTAGTTCCCATTGACTTGGGATGATTAGATCCCACCTAATGCCACTTAAAAAAGCAGATGTGGATTGAGAGAAATTGTTTTTTAATAAGCTTGGATTGCAGATATTCAGAAACAATCAAGTATGAGTTTGGTTTTTCAATACAAAAAACAATTGCTACATCAGCTTATACTGTAGTCGAAAAAAAAATAGGATTTCATAAAGGTGGGGTTTGAGACTTCAAGCTCTTTATCCAAAATAAGAGACTTCAAAGTCAAGGGGAATTCAAAGCCGCAACCCCAAATCTCATTAAACAAGGAGGATCCAAACATTGGAAGGGAATTGGGGGTGCGGCAGAGCAAGGTGCACTTGAGGATCCAAACGATTTCCGCTGGGGAATTGGGAAGGAACATGAAACCGAAGCCAAATGAATTTCACTCCTTGCGTATGTTGGGAATTACAGACTCTGTAATTGCAGAAGTGTGAGCCATAAACAACTAATCACTAAACAGACTTCCATTCTCAATTGACAACTAGATGTTGGCGGTGAAAGAAAAAAAATAAAAAACAGAAAGGCCGTGTTTGGTTTAAAGGAAAAGAAAAGAAAAGTGGCGAAACCTTTATAAACCTAATATTGGTTTTCTTACTTCCCTTCCTTTCCTTACCTTTTTCTTCAAACCAAACATAGCCAAAGAAATTAACCCGCAGCACGTATGCAACCACAAAAGATTTAATGGTAAGGATAAAAAGCCAAAAAAACAGATACTATGGAAAGAATGGAGTGTGGAATTTTGCTCAAGTACCATTGCTTGTGAAACACGGCAAGACTATTCAGAGTTGATTCCTTATGATTAATCCTAGTTTGAGACAGAACCTGTTTTTTGAAGATTGTTTTTCTAATTTAAGAACCCTAAATACCAAAAGAGAGAACAAAAACAGTTCGTTTTCCCACTTTATTGACCACTCAACATGATGACAACCAAAACCATCATATGGCCAATCTATTAAAAAGTGTAAGGAAAGCAGAGCATTGTTTTTTTTTTTAATGATAATAACACATTTACATGAAAAGAGTTAAAAGGAAGGTTCTTCTTATGTTGTCTTAAAGCATTACAATTAGATATTATCACATGCCATTTAGTACTATGGCAAGTGACTCCAGAGTGCTCTGAATAACTCAAAGTCAGTATTGACTTGGTCTTTATAGTTACATACACTAATAAAGCCTTTCATTTTATTGTTTTCCATTTTTAGAAAATTACAACTTACATATTCCAGATTATAATTACCAATAAAACCCATCTACCTGGAAGTTCTCCACAAGAAAATATAGATTTTTCTCAGGAAATCACAACTCAAAGCATCCACCCAGGAATGAAGCCATTGACATTCTGGGTTGGGGTTGTAACAGTTATTTGATCTGGTCCCACAGGGTTGTACCTGTAGCCAAAATGAAAAATAAACAGAAAATTAGATTAAGACAAAAAGCCAACCTTCAAAAAAAACCCTTAAGGATTTTACTTTTGATGAGCTTACCCAATTTGCAATGTTGAATTGCATTCCAATGGTTGGAAGAACCCCTCTGATTGAGCAGCCTGGCGGCTATATGAAATGTTTTGCCCACCAGCTTCCCATGTTAGCCGAAGGGGATTTTCACAACTACTTTCTTCCAGCTGCCAGTACAAAAATTATAGCTTAATTTATGCAATGGGTGGGGGAAAACAGCCAGACATGCATACAGACATTAATATATATATATATATATATATATATATATATATATACAGATGGACCATTTTCAGTGATCTGCTTGAATTCTATCAAGCCAGTATAATGTATATGTAGGAGTTTTGAAAACTTCAACGACTTGACTTTATGCTACCCTAAACTGGTACCTGGACAGTTGTTTGAATGAACTAAAATAGTAGTAAGAGTGCAATACTAAAGTCCCCAAAAAGCAGGATATTAGTGGATATAGTTAGTTATCCAGACAGGTAGGCAAGTACATTCGGACCCACCCCTACACCCAAATTCTCAAGCATTTTTGTGAGTTGATCACATTTGAAATGCTAAGGTGGTGATATACCTTCCTTTTCAAGGTTCTGTTTGCTTCTTGGAGCATCTGTTCCTGCATTAACACAACATGAGACAAACTTAGAAGACAGAAAGACGAAATATAACAACATTAAATCTCAAGATAAGTAAAGACCAGTTAATCACCTTTCTTTGAAGATCAGATAGCTGATCAAGCATTAATTGGGTCTGCAAAGCATTTAGAAAGGGATTAATTACTTTCTTAGCAAAAGAAGGGACCCTCAGGCAAATGTATATAAGTTGCATTACTCAAATCCATCCACATCTATTAATTTACAATTATGGCTACAGATATCAGTCTTCTCAACAATGGATTAGAGTCAAACAAGAATCAAAATATCAATATGCTCAATAGCAACAAGTGGGTATTAGTGTGCATTGATATGATCAATATTCTACCTTGTGTATCAGCGTAACCATGTTTCTCCATGGTCACCGATGCAGATATGATACTCCCAATATGGAGCATATCATATCGGTATTTTGATAATTGGACCCTACATATATAAAATAGGAATGCAGAATTCTCTTTATAAAAAACAGCACTGTTAGTTCTAAAAATGTGAAAATTTTATTTACAGCCTCTACTTTGTAATGACTTGACACAGTTTTGCAATAGCCACAAAGTTCAGAGTTGCATGGATTAAAGATCTAGGACTCCCATTGTTATATTGAAAGATAAGAAATGGTTCTCAAGAAAGCCAATAAGGAACAAACTCCTTTACAGCATTGATTCTCACCCTTCTTATCTAGAACTTAGGATATGATATGAATAAATCAATGCACAAGTACTTCCACATCATTGTCAGAAACGAAATGGTGTGGAGTGGGAGACTGCAAACCACTTATGCACTGTACATTCACAACCAAGGTGTGAAGCAAAGTTCATGATACTTTCAGCTGGGCGGGCTGCTTTCCTTAATCCACATCGTCATTTTTGATAGCTTCCAAGATAGGCAGTTTGAGTAAAAAGGGGCTGCTTCCTATGGTTGTTTTTTTCGTGCTTGTGGGGGTGAAGAATGCTCAGATTTTTGAGAATGACAGCGCCAATGATCAAGTAGTTTTGGGAAGAATTAAAGTAAGGCTATGCTCCTGGTTATCAGTTCTCAATGAATTGAGAAGTTTTCATTATAACAGAAATACTGTACAGTCCCAACATTCCCTAGGAAAAAAGCATGGCTTAAAAGAAACAATCTAGTCAACACTGCCAAACCAAAGGTTAGGTTTTTAGGTTACCTTTGTTGATCTAATTTGCTTCAAGGACATTTCAAGCTGATGTTCAAGCTGCTCAAGCTCTTTCGTAGTTAGTGGACCCAAGTCTTCCCCAAGAAGGTTTCTACATTAACATGATTTAAACAAGAATCGGGTTATTCACTTTCCTGAGTTAACAAGCAGCATTATAACACAAAAATAGGATAGCTATGAGATCGAAGAAAGAATGTTGGATTGCACGATAAGAAACTTGCCTTTGAGAACGCTGTAAGACCTCAACTCTTGCTTTGAGTTTCAAGTATTCTTGGTAGCTGCTCTGCATAAGGTAATTGTAACAATAAAATTATGTCAGAAATTCGGATATCAAAACCAGGTCTCAAGAATTCAGAAGTGAAAAACTGAAAGAAGCAATCAATTTAAACTAAAAATTATATCCAAGACTTTTGTCCCGTTGAGTAATACCATCTCAACTAAATTCTTGATAGGAATGAGACATTCGAAGCTACCTGTGTCTCCTTGGCGGGTTGGCTGGTTTCCAATGCACCGTAACTGCATTTTTGGTAGCGATCGAGGGTCTTGAGCATGCTAAAGAAAACAAAAAAACGAGTGTAATGCTGAAATCCGGTTATAAAGACGGTGTGAATATGCATATAGGCAGATATTCTGCAAACCACCGCAAAATCACAGGGATCCCAACTAATTAAAGCAGATTTTGATTGTGGAATAAAATCAAATAGCTGAAGTTCACAAGCAAAGAGCATTAGAATTGCTAACGACTTTTGCTATTACATAATAAATACTGATTCACACGACAGCTACACAACATAACCAGTAATAGCAGTGGAAGCTATGATACAGTCGATAATTTCATTTTTCGACTGGTTAAACCAGCCACTGAACATTGAATCCGACCCACCACCATTCCCACCCCCCCCCTCTCTCTCTCTCTCGAAAAATGAGACACTATAGGATCATCTTGCCCTTTATGCTACCATCAACGCAGCACGATCCGATGGACTGCACCATCTCAATTCTCAATTATAAAGATGACGTGAACTCTACTTGACGTATTGGGTTCCAAAGAAAAATGATACAAAAAAAATCAAGCAGACAACCAGAATTCACTATGTAGAGACATAATCATGACGCTGCAAGAGATTGGAGAACATCATCAAGCATCATATATGTCTTCAAATCAAAATGTTAGCCTGCATGCATGCGCATGATCGTTTCAATGAAGGACAATGGAACCGAGCTCTATATCCACATTTTGTCACTACTCAAAACATCTTTGATCAAACACAAGAAAATTCAGTGCATCACCAAGTATTTATACATTGTTTTCAGAAATTCATACGGTTGCTGGAAATAATGAATGCAAAAGGTAGGGTGTAAAGGCTGATATGCCTAGGTTCAGCTACTTTCCTACGTTAAAATCAAGACGGGACAGCATGAGTTTAAATAATTTAAAGCCAGAGTCCCCAACTCTTTTCTAAATGCATCAAATCAGCTACCATGCAAATTTTTGTGGATCATAAAATTAACAGAAAATAAATTTCCTTAGTTAAACTGTGAAATAATGCTTTAAAAATCGATTCAGAACCTAAACCGCTTTGGACACTAGTCAGTTCTTTGACCTTCCGATGGATCTGTCCATGGTAATTTAAAAAATAAAAAAAATAAAAAAGCAACAGAAAACCATTGTCTGAGTTTAAAAAAAAAAACAACAAAAAACCATTATCTGAGTTGAATGAATTGATAATTCTACCACATGGGTCAACGGATTACTGACCAAGTTTTTTGACAAAAGAAGAGTTTAAAGGTGAAATAAAACCAATTACCTGGCAGATTTCCAGACCATTCGAAACATGTCGAAAAATGCCAAAAAATGAACTAGTCCCTCCATCGCTAGGGAAGGTAGTCTCACAATGTTGGCAATGACCTCTCTCTCTCTCTCTCCAAAAATGGATCCTCGAGTTGGGACGAATATAATTAAATATAAATATATAAAATGCAAAACCTTGTATATATTATTTTGTATCTATTTAATTATTTTTGCTATATATATTTGTTTTTGTACTCTTTCAAAACAGAAACTTAGGTTGTAATGCAAATTCATTTGTACTGGTACAAATGTAAAAAATGCAAATTCTTGTTTTATTTTGTTTTGGAATTTACTTTATTCTGTTTCATGTCTTAATTTACTTTATGTGTACTGTAATCAAACAAAATAAGCTAAAATTTGAAACAAAATAGGTCAGAATATACACAAATCATTTGCACCGTCATAGTTTTGCATTAGTGCAAATTTATTTGCATTGCAACCAAACATAGCCTTTGGCTCAGTTTGGAAGGAATACAAATACAAATATGTACAGTACAAATACATACAAAATACAAGGTTTTACACTCTACAAATTTGTATTTGTACACTTTTCATTTTGGAAGGAATACAAATATAAATATGTACAGTACAAGTACATACAAAATAATATAAAATACAAGGTTCTGAACTCAATATATTTATATTTATACTCCTCCCAAATGAAGCCTTAGGGAAAAAAGAAAGAAGAGTTCTTGCCAAAAATGTTTGGCACCCTAGAAAGGTCAGTCTGTGGGACAATCTTTGATAACAACAGTAATTGAGCTAAAATTAGGATTCGGATTTTTATTCAAGGACAGGTTATACCCATTTTATTATTGGCCTCGAAATTCAACTGGTATCGGATTTTAAATCAGTCCCAAATTCATCTAACTTTTTCTCTCAATTTCCCAAACCAATCAAAAACCCCTTGACCAAAGGTTTTCTTCCAAAATAAAGGTATCTTAATGCTAATAGTGTGACTTGAACCTAGATTAACTAATGATAATGTCAAATCCCTTAACATGGCTTTAAGCCATCAGGCCATCTCTCCTTTTATGTTATATAATGATATAAAATATATTTTATTAACTTTTGTGTTCATCAAAACAATCAATACATATATATGATTAACAATTCCAACTAAAAATTAAAAGAAATAATATTTAAAATTAGCATTTTACAACTAAATGAAGTAAACAATCTATAAAATCCAAATTTACATCAAATGATGATTTTAATCCTAAGAAATTTATAGAAATAAAATATTAATAATAAAATAATTATCTTAGCACATAAAGTTTATAGATTTGTGCATGATATATAATATACTAGGTTCATATTTATGTATCCTGGGTATTGGGTATCGGATACCATAAAGACAAAACCCAAGCCCTATTGGGGTTTTAATCTAAAACCCAAACCTTATAGAGTTTTGATAAATGGGCCCTGATGATGCACATTTCGGCAGCTCCCGACTAGTAGGTGACTCGGATGCCTAGCTGAATAATCCTTACTTGGAATGTAGCTGGGATGCCTACCTGAACGGTTCCTACCTGGAAGGCAGTTTGGACGCCTAGCTGAATGGTGACGAGATGGAGAGGTGGCTCTGATGCCTAACTGAGTGATGACGAGCTGGAGAGATAGCTCTAACACCTAACTGAGTGGTGACGAGCTACAGAGTTGGCTTTGATGCCAAATTGAATGGTGACACGAGCTGGAGAGGTGGCTCTGACGCCTAACTGAGTGGTGACGAGTTGGAGAAGTGAGTTTGGTGTCTAGCTGAATGGTGACAAGCTGGAGAGGTGGGTCTAATGCCTAGATAAATGATGACGAGCTATAGAGGTGGCTTTGATGCCTAACTAAATGGTGACGAGCTGGAGAGATGGCTTTAATGCGACCTACAAGGAAACAGTGTTAGAGTGCTTGAGTTGCTTTACCCGGGGTGGACACTCCGATGCTTAAGTTAACGAATCAGAGGTTTTAAGATAGCTAAATGTGAGAGAGCTAGTGAGTTGCGAGAACTAAATTGCACATTTACATTGGTCTCAAGGGCTGACGCTCTTATGTAGTTGGGTTGCCGTAGGTATAGCGAAACGCTCCCAGAATCCTCGGCCCACAACGGTTGGTCCCTTCCACTTTGAAAGGAGGATAACGTATCAGTTAATAAGGCTTACTGTTTCCCTCCGATTTGGTCGGGATGAGGATAAGGCCTACGGTTACGCAACGTGATCCCGAAAAGGTTCAGAGACCACTGGCAAGCTTCTAGAGAAGTAGGTCGCCAGGTCGGCAACAGAGGCAGATTGCCAAGTCAGCAACAGAGGCAGATTAACAGGTCGGCGACAGAGGCAGTTCACCAGGTCGGCGGTAGAGGTAGGTCGCCAGGTAGGACCCCATTTTGGAAGGCAAGTTATCGCCTAGGTGATCTTGGGATGTAATCCAGCTGTTCTGATATGCCATGTGTCATGATGTCAGTGGAGGGCCAAATCTGCCCTCATCAGGTCCTATTAGGGTCAGGATGGGTTAGATACCCGAAAATTCTGATGAAATTGCCATTTGAAAAGTCTGATGATCATAAACTTTAAAATATATCATCAATAATGATCTTCATGTATATTTTCTTTTTTTTTATTTTTGGGGGTGGGGGTGGGGGGAGTAGGAAGATAATCCTAAAAATCCAGAAAGTCTAGTTTGAGACCTCTAAACTCACTCATTAATTAATACTATGTTTCATGGCTTCTTTACGTAGCCTAAGCAAATTAAAACCTATTCAAGCAAAGCACTGTCTAAAGTAAATTTCTAGTAGGATTTTGCTCAAGGACCTCACCTTTACAAATATTTACCAACTATCCCTGGCTATTTTCTTTTTTTTTTTCATAAATAAACCACCCCTGGCTATTTAGATACAGCCATTTTTATTTATTTATTTTTTGCCTTTCGTTGCCTTCAAAATTATATTTTCATCAAGAAAAGTTTTACCTAATGTAAAAAGCAATAGTAACAATAGTCACCCTTATCATCCCAGCCTTGTCACAACTATATGGGCTTGGGTACATGAATCCAGTTTCACCACAAATATAATATTGCACCCAACATAAAAACTAATCCATCAGTCATGCATTCCAAGTTCGTTTCTATAAAAATGTCATATTCTTGCTATTAGGGCTTGAAATTCCTTAATAGAATAGTAAAGAGATCATGGTTATTATATGGGATGACACAATCAAAGAATAGAATAAGATTTAACTACTAAATTAAAATAAATGATCCTTTCGTGCATGTATATATAAACCCGTATTGATGAAATTAAGAAACCAGGAGAGTTGGGTTACAGTAACTCTTACATTACAGTTGAATGCCACAAAATTCTCTAGAAGAAAGGAAATTTAAGGTCCAATGAGCAAAAGAGAAACGAAAGTTACCCATACTTAACACTACTAGAATAAGCACAACCAACATATTGCCATAAGTGCAAACCGATGCTTCCATGAAACTATCAATACCAATCGCTCAGTGGCTTTGCAACAAAACAGAAGGCCCGTTTTCAATCCTAACTTCATACATGAGATTTGGAAGTTCACCTGAGAAATTTCTAAAGCCCAAGAACCAATTTTGTTACGTACGGATTCTGGTATTATGTAAAGCTTTGATCACCCCATCTATGTAGCAACTAAAAAAAAAGATCCTTAAAGAAAAAACAGCTCAACTCTGAACCACCAAAAAC